CATTGAAAGTGCCGGCGTTGTCACCACTGTAGAAGATGTTGGCGATGAAACAGAGGACGCAAATAAAGATGATGGCGGTGTTGAAGTAGGAGACGTAGAACGTGGAGCCCAGACCGCCAATAAAGGAGTAGCTCCCTGGTGCACAAAAAGAATCTAATACATACATCTGAAGCAATGGATAAATAGAGTTTTCGTTAATGCAAGTATATGAGATAATTGCAGTATCTATGTCTTCATCTATGCGCAGGATTTGAACTCAAGAACTTCGTATTGCAATGGTGCGTGCACTCATTGCGGTCCCTCATTGAACAGTGCAGAAGTTGAAGAAGCCCTATTGTAAGAGTATATGATTCTTTTCTTCTTGTATATTGGACATATAGGTATAGACATACATTATATAGGCGAACCTACATTCTATGAGTGATGCCGTCAAACTCATGCCGGCCACGTTTGTTTCCCAGGAGTTTACCAGTCACTCATTTAAAGCTAAGTGGACCTGGGTTGCAAAGTTATTTTTTAAAAAGCCCCACTTTATTCGGATTTAAACCCAAAATCTTCAGATCCGCAGGCGAGTCTAGTGGCTACAGCCGGCGGATCCCGTGTGAATGTGTAAACAGCTGCCAAACATAAATGCTTGTTCCTGTAGTCAGTGTCTTAGTGCCTTAGTTGCGTATCCTCTACCCAATGTTGAAGCGCCAACTGTAGCGTTATGTTCAGTAGCGTACTGTTGACCACAACAATCGTCCAGGTGAATGGTCTATATAGTTAGTTAGTCGACAGATTATCCTCATTGCACGTAGAACCACTCAGTCCATAAGTGCTCGCATCTTCTCCTCAGTAAGTCCCGTAGCGTGGAGCGGCTAACATCACCGGTTCTGTGTTGGTTTATTATTCTTCTTTGACTACCCGCGTAGTGTTCTATTTTGGCGACGCCCCGTTTAACATGTTGTTCTTGCAGTCTGACCATGGTTGCATTCACAGTTCTTAGATGGTTCACGCAAACGTCCTAACTCTCTTAGAGCATTCAGTATTTCAGCCTGTATACATATATTTAGCTTCATTTCCACGGAGAAATCATGCACGGTAGAAAATCTGTGTCTCCAGCCATGTTACTGCTTTGGTCACTGCCATGACCCCCATAGTCATATTACTTGTGGTCAAAGCAACAGCACCAGAATCTTGCTTCACAGTTCTAACTGCAAGCCCACGAGCTTTTTCACATGGCGAACCAGAAACCCATTTGTGTAAATGACAGCGTTTCCCTGTAACGAATTCTCGAAAATGAAAGCTTGCCCTCTGCCTCCACAGCTGCCGGACTTTCCTGTCTACATCTTCTGTCTAGTCAAAAGCAAACAGAAAAGCTGACACAGTAGTCTGTTCGTACTTGTTAGACTCTATAAAGTCTTTATAAGTTTTTGTATCAGCATAGTTGAAAAGAAACAATAGACTGTATGGCAAATTCTTTACCTGTGAAATTCTATTTTAGCAGCTGTTACACATTTAACTTCTTTAGTGAAGCTTTCATCTTGTGTTATCGGGGTACCTATGTATACACAGTTAACCTCATGTTTCAGACTTGTCCTTAAACTTTGATTGTGTATTATGTATATATATATATATATATATATATATATATATATATATATATATATATATATATATATATATATATATATATATATATATATATATATATATTTAAAACCAGTTACAATAGACAAACAAAGACCCTTTGTACGCGACTTCATGAGCCTTGCAATCTCTGTTTGCCAGTTACAATTGTCATGCAAATTTAACTTATCATTTTTGTTTTCTAATTATTACGCGAATAGCAATGTGTAGCTGATTTAAAAAAAAAAAAAAAGCTGGTAACTGCAAAAGTAAGCCACGGTTTTTGGGCAATCATCATCATCATCAGGTGTCTTGCCGACTGGCGTGGGCGATCATGCCTCTTCATAATCTGCGATCTCCTGCAGCATGTTTCAGTTCGTGTGCCGACACACCTCCATGCCATGCATTAAGGCTGTCAAGCATCTTCTCTTGTTGTCTTCCTCTATGTCTCCTTCCACATATCTTTCCAGTCGTCACAACATGTTCTATTTTCCCTCTTCTCATAACATGGCCGAAAAATGATGACTGTCTCCTTTTGGGAAATGGGTTGTCGAATTCCTCTGTTTCCTCTGCTATCACAACTGTCCAATTGTCAACTGTTGGCATGTAATTAATGCAATGCGCGGAGATTTTGTCGGACTTCGACTTGAGTTAGAATTAGAACGGAGCACTTATGGGTTACTACCCTCGTGCTGTGATGTTAATTCGTCGTTAAAACTTTTTTTCTCTAGTCCTCTTTGGCCTTTCAGGTTTGGATTTTGAGGAGGCATCGCATGCAAGCCTCGGTATGTGTTGAATACATGCTCGTACCTACCGCCTTAGATGTTTTATCTATATATCACTTGCTTGGTCAATCTCTTGCTCTGCTTCCATGAAATGACAGGGTTCTTTGTATTGCAGTATCTTATGGTAGTCTTGACACAAGACTAAACCATCTGATCTTTTATTTTTTTTTTTAACTGCAGTGCTGAAATTACAACAGCGAGTTGAGTTGGGTTGATTTGAGTCTAGAATTGACATAACAGCACTCGTGGCATTCCCATGCGTTCTCTGTCCCCATCTTCAGCAGCCAGCGCAAAGTTTCAAAACTGATGGTACCGGTCACAGGCTGGTTATATGTCCGTCTTGCCTTTCCTCTGAGTGTAGTGAGGCGGCCAAACTATATGGTTACACTCAGGAGCCGCATTCTCTCCAAGCCGTATTAATCCTGTTTCTCTACTGATTCCGATGCTTGTTCCCCAAGGGCCTTGACCACATTTGCCTTACAGCAGGGAAAACATTGCTTTTAAGACAAAATATTGTCCTACCAAACAAAGTGGCCATGATGATCACACAGTACTCGCCGCTAGCGTCCTTGACCAGTCCCTGGAGCAAGGCCGTGGATGCGGTCAGCAAGCAGACCGTGACCATCAGGTTCATTAGCAGAGCAAAGAAGCAAAACACGATGTGAGCACTGTTGCCGAACCGGGCGTGAATCACCTGTGGACGCATAGATTTCCAGGTGAGTTCATTTATTACAACACATTATTCTAGGCTTCCAAGTGTAAGTCTATAGGCGCATTTTACGAATTAGTTATTTAGAACATAAAACTAATAAATATGTCAGTGACAAAATAAATAAATTTTCAGAACACCAGGAGCCTCTCCTGACAGTGCTAAAACGTCGCAAGCTAGCATGGTTTGGGCCTGTGGTGATACATGATTCGATTGCAAAGACTTTACTTCAAGTACCATTAGGGGTAGGCAAAGAAGAGGAGGGACAAAGAAGAACTGGAATGACAACATCAAGAAATGGACAGACTAAGTTACTATACACTTATTCATCAAGCAGTAGACAGAAAAAGATGGCGGGTTTTGTGTGTTAGAGCCTCCAACAATACACCACATCCACGACCCTAGCGAGTCATAAGCTATGTTATGTTATGTTTTTGGGCGTCAATAGAATTCTCCGCGTGTGGGTCCAATGCCATTTTTGTAAATGTGGAGGAAACAATGGGTGGGGGAAAAAGGGGGGGGGGGGCGTGTAAATAGACCATCTGTCCGTTGACAAACTTTGGCGTAATTTAGGGTGGTTTTCCTTCAAAGTCGATGGGCTGAGTGGTCTCGAGGCATGGCGTACGCCTCGAGTGCTGGAGGTCCCGGGTTCAGGCCCCTGTGAATGCTGAGAGTTTTCACGTGGACTTCTAGTAATTTCCCCTGGTTTCTAGGTAGTAAGATCAGACACTCGTGTGTATTCTTGCGCACGTAAATAATCCCTTGGCAGTTAAAAATCGCAAAAAGTATCCTAATGGCGCTGCCCTTGCAAAATGTGGAGTTAAAAAGTGTTTACCCAGTTTTTTAGGATTCTCACCGGTACTACGGAGCTCGTTCACTACGCTGACATTCTTCGGACTCAGACTTGAGTTAGAAATAGAGCGAAGCACTTATGGGTTACTACCCGTGTGCCTTGATGTTTATCGGTTGTTCAAGCCTCAATTCTTTATAGTCGGAGCCCGAAAGACAAGGAACCAACAGTTTTCATACAAATCAGGCCTGCATGTACAACGGAGGTGGGCCCAAATGTCAAGTTCTAGAACAAAACTAAAATTCATTAATGGATGAACAACCTAAACTCTAAGTGTCATCAGCTCATCTGCGATGCAAAACGACACAAAGCAGAAAATAGACAAACGAAATTACAAAGTTTTTGAATGCTAAATAATAATAATAATAATAATAATAATAATAATAATAATAATAGTAATAATAATAATAAAGCTAATAATAATAACAATTGTGTATATTCTCAACTGCTAGTGGCTGACTTTCTCATCACTGTAGCAGTGAAGACTATACCTATCAGACATATATTCTCACATAACAGTTTCTTATTTATTATCGGGAATTTCAGGGTTGTTTTTTTTTTCCCCAGTTTGGCAACATTAAACGTTCCGTCTGATTTCCTTTCTACGGTATTTATGTTTTTTAAAGGGAAAAAAAATAGATTTAGTGATCTGAGATTTTTTTACTGAAGCCGTGTTTCTTATTTTGGTGATCTACTGTTTCTTATCGGCTTCTGTTGATTTAGTATATTTGCACACAAATACCTTTTTGTTTGGTGTATGTTGGTGCACTTGAATGATCATTAGACAATATAGCAAGGGGTTGTTTGTCGAATCTTGGCTAACCTCAAGGCCTAGTAGCGTATATTGTGTGGGTTTTTTTTTCTGTTCAGCTATGGCTACAGTTGTTTTTCCCGGTACATTTCCCTCTATCTAAATAAAAGTTATGTAAAGAGGCATAGGAATCACAACCCAAGGCGATGGCGAATGTGACTAGCAAACCCGCTCGCGTTTAGAAAGGCTCTTCCACAATTAGAGCATGAGATTTCAGGACCACTGCTGTTGTCACTGCATGTGTGTAAAGTGTTTTTTCAGGCTCACTGCATGTGTGTAAAGTGTTTTTTTTTTCAGGCTCACTGCATGTGTGTAAAGTGTTTTCTCAGGCTCACTGCATGTGTGTAAAGTGTTTTTTAGGCTCACTGCATGTGTGTAAAGTGTTTTTTCAGGCTCACTGCATGTGTGTAAAGTGTTTTCTCAGGCTCACTGCATGTGTGTAGTGTTTTCTCAGGCTCACTGCATGTGTGTAAAGTGTCTTCTCAGGCTCACTGCATGTGTGTAGTGTTTTCTCAGGCTCACTGCATGTGTGTAAAGTGTTTTCTCAGGCTCACTGCATGTGTGTAGTGTTTTCTCAGGCTCACTGCATGTGTGTAAAGTGTTTTATCAGGCTCACTGCATGTGTGTAGTGTTTTCTCAGGCTCACTGCATGTGTGTAGTGTTTTCTCAGGCTCACTGCATGTGTGTAGTGTTTTCTCAGGCTCACTGCATGTGTGTAAAGTGTTTTCTCAGGCTCACTGCATGTGTGTAGTGTTTTCTCAGGCTCACTGCATGTGTAAAGTGTTTTCTCAGGCTCACTGCATGTGTGTAAAGTGTTTTCTCAGGCTCACTGCATGTGTGTAGTGTTTTCTCAGGCTCACTGCATGTGTGTAAAGTGTCTTCTCGGGCTCACTGCATGTGTGTAGTGTTTTCTCAGGCTCACTGCATGTGTGTAAAGTGTTTTCTCAGTCTCACTGCATGTGTGTAAAGTGTCTTCTCAGGCTCACTGCATGTGTGTAAAGTGTTTTCTCAGGCTCACTGCATGTGTGTAGTGTTTTCTCAGGCTCACTGTATGTGTGTAAAGTGTCTTCTCGGGCTCACTGCATGTGTGTAAAGTGTTTTCTCAGGCTCACAGCATGTGTGTAAAGTGTCTTCTCAGCTCACTGCATGTGTCTAAAGTGTTTTCTCAGGCTCACTGCATGTGTGTAAAGTGTTTTGTCAGGCTTACTGCGTGTGTGTAAGGTGTCTTCTCAGGCTTACTGCGTGTGTGTAAGGTGTCTTCTCAGGCTCACTGCATGTGAGTAAAATGTTTTGTCAGGCTTACTGCGTGTGTGCAAAGTGTTTTGTCAGGCTTACTGCGTGTGTGTAAGGTGTCTTGTCAGGTTCACTGCGTGTGTGTAAAGTGTTTTGTCAGGCTTACTGTGTGTGTGTAAGGTGTCTTCTCAGGCTCACTGCATGTGTGTAAAGTGTTTTTTCACCTCACTGCATGTGTGTAAAGTGTTTTCTCAGGCTCACTGCACGTGTGCAAAGTTTTTTTTCCACCTCACTGCATGTGTGTAAAGTGTTTTTTCACCTCACTGCATGTGTGTAAAGTGTTTTCTCAGGCTCACTGCATGTGTGTAAAGTGTTTTCTCAGGCTAACTGCGTGTGTGTAAAGTGTCTTCTCAAGCTCATTGTGCCAAAGATGGGAAAAAAGGAGCGGGGGTGGTGGGTATTGGTGCTGTGCTTATTCTATGTACAAGGCAATTGAAAATTAACCCTTTTTGTTGAAATACTTGAAAGTATTTATTCATGGTAATTTTAGACTCAAATCTGTGTTCGTTTGTTCTTTAACGAATGCGAACATAATTTGTAAAATTGGGGGGCTTCGATGTCTCGAGGCATGGTGTTTGCCTCGAGTGCTAGAGGTTCCGGGTTTAATGCCCGGTAAGGGCTGGGATTTATTTCACATAGACTTGGACTTCTAGTAATTTATCCTGGTCTCTGGGTAGTGATATCGGACGCCCGTGTGTATTGTTGCACACGTTAAAAAAATCCCTTGGCAGTTGAAAATCGAAAAGGGTAGCCTAACGGCGCTGCCCGGGCAACATTTTGAGTTAAAAATCTACCCAAAGTATTTCAGGATCCTCGCCGGTGCTACAAAGTAGGTCAACAAACACACCCACACAAACACACACACACACACACAAACACAGACACAAGGATCTCACCTGAAGAAAGGTTTTGGCTCCAGGAGCTCGTGTCTTGAACTGTACAGACAGAACCGGAAAGAGAATCATGTTTACAACAGCACAGCTTGTGTACCAGAAGCTGCCTGCAATCCCGTTCTGAAAGAATAGCAAGTGTTTGTGTGTCACTCATCATCCTACATCGTGTGTCAATTAGTTGCGTTTCCTTTACCGGACGTTGGAGAACCAGCCCCAGTATTTTTTTTTTTTTGTCTGCTGTGGTTTTTTCTAGTCACGTTTACGTCCAGTAGTTTGCCATTTCTTTCCTGTGTACTCGCAGCAAAACCGGGGCCTTATATCTGCATCCAACACATTCGTTGTGAATATACAAATTATGTTTTGTCTGTATCACTTTTAAGACCGCGTGGAACACGGTGGTGCTCAGGGGCAGTCTAGACCCTGGGTATTTAGGACCACATTGTGTGTGGAGTAACTAAAGATTCTGCAGATTTAGGATTGTGTTTATGACCCAGACTGAAGATGGAGATACAAGTTATGAATGAGCCATTAATTTTGCTATTGACACTTCAATGCTGGCTTACAAAGACTTCCCCATACGTACGACATGCTTGTCGTGGCTGGCTGTGTCAGTCTTTACTCCGAGTCCTTGCATTCTTAGCAGCAATGATGACTAGCTCCTTACAACATCTTCGAAACGCCGTATCTCTCCAAGGGCATCAACAGTGTCGACGCAATCTATAGGACGACTATGTGCAATTAAGGCAAAACCGGTAACGCTATCAGCTGGTTCACTGCCAATAACACTCACATACTCTGAGACAAAGATGAAAGTAACTCCATTCACAGTGGAGTTTTCGAATGACTCACCACTGTCTGTATATAAAAACTGTCTCAATCCATTCTCAAAGAAATACTCAGGACACACAGATACATATAGTCCAGTGACTCCAACCAGATAAAAATTCGTGTCAAAGACATCACCTCCATCGTCATGATGATAGTAGTCTTAAAAACAGGCAGCACTTGCTTCCTGGACTGTTCTGCCAGCAGGCTGAGAGTGCTGTAGGTGAGTCCAGTGACTCCAACCAGATGACAATTCGTGTCAAAGACATCACCTCCATCGTCATGATGATAGTAGTCTTAAAAACAGGCACCACTTGCTTCCTGGACTGTTCTGCCAGCAGGCTGAGAGTGCTGTAGATGCCCTTGTATTGTGTGTCCTCGAACAACAGACCTATCAGTGTAGATCAGCACAACAACCTAATCTGTATTGTCACTAATAAGCGCAATGATAGCAACATTATTGTGCTCTCGACAACTCCTAGTAAGTGTGACAGTACAGGAGAGAGCCCAATATAACGGTTAAGGCGCAGATAGCCACCCTTCGCCGAAGTGATAGTTTGTAAGACTACATACCTGCTTGACCTCATTTTCTGCTCTAGTCAGCCAAGATGTGCCCCGTTTTAGCCTGTTGCCCTTTTTACCGAAGATCGCGGGTTGTTAAGGATGCTTCAGATCTGAGCTTATCTTTGTATATTTGCGAAACCCCTAATTCTTGATGTTGTGGTGCATGTTACGAGACTCAAGAGTATATCTCATGGCTTCACAAGAGGTGTCTCCTGTGCAGCCTAAAATAATGCGTCTGACTTAATTGTGTACACTTTTCAGGTTTTCTGTCTGAGTCTGTGATTAAACCTCAAATCCAGGTATGTCATCAGATGGGTTCTTGTCGAAGCCTCAGCCACTTCCTCTTCTTCTTCTTCTTGGCGTTCACCGACTGTAAAATCTGGCTGTTCATCCACCTCTGGACTTGAGACTTGTTCAAAAACCTAAATTTTGCGTGCACTTCCGATTATAGATCTGACTAACTTGTGCGCACTGTTGATTCCTTGCCTATCAGTCAGATGCATTGCGACCGATTTTCAACGCTGGTAAGTCTGCACTGGTCATATCTGTGTTCAAGGAGAACCACTTTACTGAGGAGGGTGTTGATGGATTTACATGTACATTGATATCCGCACACTAATAGGAGAGACGATCACTTTCGCTCTGCATTTTATTGGCTATCTCCTTACTAGCAATAATTAAAAACAACAGAGCCACTCTACCGGTAACAACAAAGTGGGCAGGAAGAATTTCAGAAATAACATCTCTCTACATCAGCAGCAAACAAAGAACGACAACATTTCTAGAGGTTGCATGGTCCTGTTCACGTTTCCCTGCCCATCTACACATTTCCTGACCGCTCATTTATACTGTCTCAGACTCTTTTTCGTCGGAGGGGTGTCACGATGTCTTTCCTCTAATTACATCAGCACTGATGTCACGTGTACCTTGCCCAAACTCCCCCCCCCCCCCCCCCTACCCGCAGCCTGAGCCTAGGTCACACGAGATACTCTCTTCGAAGAAAGCAGTACAACATGAGACTCCTCTCTGACCTAGATCAGACTGAGAAAGTGTGTAGATTGACGGGGAAACGTGAACAGGTCCGGTTGCATATTGAAGCACACCTTTATGGCCACTGTAGCACATTGAAGCAGATCTCCAGGCCACAATAACTGGGACGCCACGGTGACGGCCGTTAGACTGGTGGACACCTTGCCTCCCGCGTCAAAGGTCGTGTCTAGGTTGTTGGCGTCGTGGAAAACGTGCTTCCTGATGGCCACATAGAGGAGGGCCAACAAGACTGACAGACCGCCAAATCCAAGGAGAAGGAGTCCGGCTGCTTGGTGTTTGTCGAGAACCGGGTACACTTTGCTGGGGACACAAAAAAACATGAGATAATATTGATAGGATAACGGTTTTCTTTGCCGACATTGTGCTACCAGTGCCAAACATGGACACTTTCTACAACTAACGAGCAGAAGTTCGTAACAACAGAGATGAGATGTCTTAGGAGAGCTGTCGGTGAAGAGAAGAGGGAAGAAGAGATACAATCAAGAATAAAGAAAGTTGAAGAAGATTATGACTGAAATCAGTTATAAAATACATTAAATAACAACAAATGAGATTGTCTGGCCACCTGACGAGAATGCCCTGGTATCAACTGCAACAGAGAGCCACGCTGAAGAAAAAAGATTAGCACAGTGCAAGGGAAAGACCACGCAAGATATGGAACGACACCATCAATAGCAACCTAACAGAAATGTACAATGCATTGAAAAAAGCTTACAAACGATCTTTACATCTCCCCCAACATCTCGCTGAGGTAAATAGTGAAGGAAGAAAGAAGAAGAAGAAGAAGAAGAAGAAGAAGAAGAAGAAGAAGAAGAAGAAGAAGAAGAAGAAGAAGAAGAAAAGAAGAAGAAGAAGAAGAAGAAGAAGAAGTAGAAGAAGAAAAAGAAGAAGAAGAAGAAGAAGAAGAAGAAAGTGGAAGAGCAAGAAGAATAATAAGATCTTGCCACTCTATGCTACCAGTGTCAGAAATGGTCAACATAAAAGAAATTTAGTAACCATTCAAATAAGATGTCAGAAAAGGGCTGAGAAGTGACCAGGAGAGATCAAATCAGGAATAAACTCAAAAAAGAAAATGTTGGTACACAATCAATTCTAAACCGCACAGAAGGTAGCAAACCGAATTGTTGGCCCACGTAAAGATGATGTATCGAGACGCCGTAACACACAAGGCATACACAAACAGCGAAGAGAGATGTAAAGAACAAGGTAGACCAAGAACGAGATGGAAAGATAACAGAGAAAATCTAGGACCAGTGTTGCCATTTTAGATGTTTTACATCCAAATTTAGATGTTTTTCCTTGCATTTAGATTGCGTTTTTGACGTTTAGATGGTAGACATTTTTCTAGTTGTTTTTCAATTGGAGTGAATTTATCAAATCTAACCTAAAAAAAAACAGGATAAAATTGGATTTCTTAAATGCTATCTTGACAATAAAATTTTGCCTGATAAAAGAAGGAAAAGACTGTTCAACTTATCAGCTCCCTGATTGGGCATTAAAAGAAACTGGAACACCTAAAGCATACCAGCGTCTTTTTGGGTCTGCATCTTCAACTTTATCATACAAGCTAAGTTTATCATGTGGATCTTGTAAGGCAGTCTTCAGTAAGGATGAGAACATGATTCTTTAGGGTAAGTCATATCAATTTTTATGTAATTTGTGACTCTTTCCATTTGGATGTTTTTTTTCTAGAGGTTTTTTGTTTGTTTTGTTTAAATGTGCAGGCAAAACTTAAATTTTTTAAAGCATTAAAATTCACAAGTGGACGAACAACAGGACTGTCAGTTTACAGCCTGTAGAAACTAAAAAGAAGAAGAAGAAGAAGAAGAAGAAGAAGAAGAAGAAGAAGAAGAAGAAGAAGAAGAAGAAGAAGAAGAAGAAGAAGAAGAAGAAGAAGAAGAAGAAGAAGAAGAAGAAGAAGAAAATAACGTAAGAGGTCGTGGCCCTACGGCTCCCCCCTCCCCTTTTGCCCCTTTTCCCAGCATTACCAAAGAAACGTTTAGTGTATGCTAAACTTTTATTCCACGTTTATGATTGTTTTAAAGAATGCCCCAACACTTCTGTTGTTGTTTTGTTTTACCTTTTCAGTCCTCTAGTTGCAGCTCTGGATTTCATTTGATGACAAGTGACCTAGATGGCCAAAAAACGCCGATGTCAGCAGACAGTATACTACAGCAAGCAATTATGTACAGGCCAGACGGGAAGCGAAGAAGAGGCCAACAATGCAAGAGATGGACAGTGGGAATTACAGAGTCCCTGGGAATCCCAGTTTCTGAAGCGCACAAACCTGCTCTCTCCTAAATTATAAGTAGATAGGTAGTTGTACCCCACCCCCCAGGACATCACACAAGCGATAAACCCCCGGGGACACAAAGTGCCACCATGCGGATGAAGATCACCCTTGGAGAGGTCCTTCAGCCGTTAGGCCATATTTATGGCTGGACAATATAGGGCTCCCCGGCAAAATCTTGGGCGGGTCTTAAAAATAAAATAAAAATTGCATGCGACGAAGGGACGACTAATATCATGTAAAAAAATTCAACATAAATTATCCTTCATCTCGACACAGCATAGTAACAAGGCATTAAGATGAAATAATTTTTCTATATGATTTAGTCTTTTTTTTTTACCTTCAGGACGGCAGTTGGGGTCTGGGTGGTCTCGAAGAATAGTGTCCCCCTCGAATGCTGGAGGTCCTGGATTCAAACCCCGGTAAAGGCTGGGATTTTTTTTCAAGTGGATTTCAAGCTATTCCCCATGGCTCTGGGTAGTGAGATCGGACGTCCGTGTGTATTGTTGCGCACGTAAAAATTCCCTTGGCAGTTAGAAATCAAAAAGCGTAGCCTAACAGCGCTGCCCGGGTAAAATGTAGAGTTAAAAATCTACCTAATTGATTTCAGGATCTTTGCTGGTGCCAGGGAGCTCGTGCACTGCGCTGAGTTTCTTCAGACTCAGGCGTGAGTTAGAAGTAAACAGGAGCACTTATGGTTTAATACCATGATGTCGATCCGTTGTTCAAACATAAACTGGCGGGCAGTTGCGCTAAGGTTGCTCAATACTCTCACCCTAAATAGGTGGGGGATGGGGTGGTAGGGGGAGGGAGAAGAACAGACCCCAAACCCACCCCTTCTTTCCCAACGTTTTTCTATTGACCTATTATTGCGGTAACTTGCAGCTCTCCGGTGGCTAGAGATCAAGATGCATACACAAGTAATTGTAACAGACTCTGAAAGCATGCTGAAAAGTAAGGACAGTGATGCTTCGAGCAGAGTGGCAAGCTTTACTGGAAAGGTCACGGGTGGTGAGCATACTTTGGATCTTTTCTACAGGCAATGCCGGCGTTGTGGGTAATGAACAGGCAGACAGATTGGCTGGATTCGCACCACTGGGTGGTGAATTGATACATGACAAGGCCCTTTGGGAACAAGCAACGGAATCAGTAGAGAAAGAAGATTATTATGGCCTGGAGAGAATAAGGCACCAGAGGGTCTGGTCGGTTACTACATTCAGAAGAAAGGCAAGACGTTCTTTTAACCAGATTGTGACCGGTACCATCAGTATTGGAACTCTGCGCTGGCTGCTTAAGATGAGGACGGAGCATGCATGGGAATGTCTCGAGTTCTGTGATGTCAATTCTAGACTCAACTCAACTCAACTCCTATTGACTTTTCTTCTAGTTGACAGAAGGAGAACTAAACTGGGTTGAAGGTATAAAGCTTGTCTCTAATTTGGCATGGATCCTCTAGGCGTGACTAATGTACAAGGGGCAGCTGATGACACGTAGACGCAGCTTCCTACTGTTAGTTCTGGATGTTGTCATTTACTATCAGTCAGAAACTTTTGCTCTACGGGGGCGGCTAGGGATGCCAGAATCTTGAGTTAGAGGGCATTGACCCCTGAACGCAGGAGGAATGTCGTAAGGTTAAGAACGCGAGGCTCTTCTGCGGGAGACCTGGGTTCGACTTCCTCAGTGAGGTTGTGGAGTTTTAGTTTTGTTCGAGTCAAAGATTAACTGCTATCGCGCGCGAACAGTCCATGCTGACTCCACTAGCCATGCGACCATAAAACCCCAGGGTCATACCTCTACCCCGCCTACACCGGCAAAGACAGTTAGTTGTCCCATCTACACTGGTAAATACAGGTACTCCGCCATACATACACACACACAGACAAACACACACAGACATATACACACAGACACACATATAGACTTATACACCACAGACACCCCCCCCCCCACACACCGATGTTTTTCTTTCAAATGTCTTATTCTGTTTTCATTTATCTTTAAATTAAAAGTTAATATTATTTATTAAAACCAAGGTGTCAGTTAAGCGCCTTTTAGCATTTGGAACTAATATTTAATTGTTGTTAATTATGTTTATGCAACTATTATTAGACTTCTAACATTTTGGGATCAGGTTTATTGCTATAATTTCAGTAATGTCAGTATAATTAGAACATATTCTAGCGGTTGTTATTAAGATAAAGATGTTGTGGACATTAAATATTTTATTTATGTTAATAACTATGAAATGATCTAGGAATGAATAACTGTATGAACGTTTTTTATCTTGAACCTATGTATACTTTGGTACTTGAATATATATATTTTTTAAACTTGAACCTATGTATATTTTGGTACTTGAATAAATAAACGTTTTTGATCTTGAACCTATGTATACTTTGGTACTTGAATAAATAAACGTTTCTGATCTTGAACCTATGTTTACTTCGGTACTTGAATAAATGCAGGTTTTGAATCTTGAACCTGTGTTTACGTTGGTACTTGAATAAATTCAGGTTTTGAATCTTGAACCTATGTATACTTTTGTACTTGAAAAAAAAAACATTTCTTATCTTGAATCTATGTATACTATAGTACTTGATTAAATGAACGTTTTTGATCTTGTACCTATGTATACTTGTGTTGATGAATAAAAACGAAACCAGTCTTCACTATGTGGGCGTCTCATGAAATGAGGCAAACGTCAGTCATTCATGACAAAAAAGGCTTGATAGCAAAAAGAGTTTGGAAGAGATAAAAGAGAGATGCTAACTAAGAAGTTAGACAACAGGCCATAAGAGGAAATTTGATATAAACGGTACGTGACGGACAGTTGACAAAGTGTACGCGGCATTGACTCTGAGCCTAAAACATTGCTATTAAGAACTAACTGATGATGTGCTGCATACATATTGTCTAGTTGATAAATCCCAGGTCTTACCAGTTGGCATTCAGATCGACAGTTTCTTCTTCTTCTTCTTTGTTTTCTTAGCGTTTACTGGCTTTAAATCGGGCAGACATTTATGGCTGTACGTCCACTCCCACTGGGCTTTGCCCTTGTCCCAGAACTTGAGTTTTTCGTGCACATTGGAATGAGTGTATGAGTGAATGAATCAAGGAACGAATGAATCAATGAATGAATCAAACAAACTTACCTAAAACTTTGGTTCCCATTCTGTCTCACCTGCTCAGCTGGGCAGTCTAGTCTCCGAGAGCCATCTATTTCTGAAGAATCACACTTAAATACGAGTCCCAGTAGAAGGAGACCTACTGCAAGAAAGGGCACCGCACTTGGGGCCAGCGACAACTTCCCTGACGCCAT